TACGAAGTTTAAACACGTGGGCAATAAAAAAGTCTTGAACATAATCATTCAACAGGTAAATTTAGATTTGGCGTAACTGGGCACTTTTTAGTCATATAAATCACGTAATCAAAGGAAAGTTTTTTTTAAAGGTTTCATTATTCTTTTCTTCCTATTAGTTTCAAGACAAGTGTTTCTGCCTTTCTTCAAGCAATAGTGGTCACATGCATAGTGGATATTGCCGCAAGTTCTTTCTGAGAATTTTTACCTCAAACAGTAGCAGATATGATGATGAACACGTATTCAAACATTATTTCATTCAAACCGTTAAACCCTCGTTTTCCTAGAAGGGCACTGCAATTTTATGACTTTGGTCACAGTAAGCAAAATATCTCTTTTTCTTTTCTGCTCTATCTGATAATAGTCCTTATATTATCTATGTTCAAAATAGCAAAAAAGCTCCCTTCTTCATTATCTCATAAATATCTTATTATATTCAATGATTCTTTAAGCCATTGATCCACCAAATTCGGATCAAGACCGCTCAGGAGGTATTTTTTTGTTGATCAGCAGCTGTATATATGTTGGAGTACCCTTATTCTATTTGTCGCAATTTGAGTATGTTGTCACGCCTATCTCAAACATATATCACCAGACAATCATTATTTTTTATTTTCTCTTCCCTAGAAAAGTAGCTTTTCTTATTTTATCTTTTTTCATTTTTTTCCATAATTTTAGTATGGTATGGCGGTCACTGGCCGAATAAAGACATCTATTGATATGCTGTTACGCTACTTATCAATGGTTAAGCTATTTACCATTGATGAGCTTTGCAATCTGTTATTTTCTCTCAAATGCGATCATAATTATCAAATATCAGTCGCTATCTACACAATATTTCTAAATCACTATAATGCTATATCTCATTCTGTGTCAATCATGCTATTTTTCGCGTTACCTTTCATTTTTTCAAAGCCCTTCGAATTGCAGGCGTTTACTATTGGATTACGACCGACGATGTTGGCCGAGATGAACTTTGATTGTGACCCATGTCGTTTTGACTATTTTGATGGCGATTTGGCCGTTGGCGCTGGCGATGGCTCAATTTTGCTTTGGGCAAACGATTCATCGCTTTGGGAAGGTTGAGAGTCCAGCAGTGATGTGGTACTTCCAAAAAACGATTTTTTTGGAAAGATTAGTATGCACAATCTTTTCATCTGATCTCCATGTTTCATATACCCAGACTGGAATTTTAAAGGAAGTGTTGCATCGGGTGCTTTTGCTTTGAAAAAAATCACTCTAAGCAAACATCTCCCTCCACTTCCAGTCTACGCTGGTCGATTCACGTCTGTTTTAACGCAGGTTCCAATGTGTTCATAGATTTGTACAGAGCAAGCTGCACTGTGGTATATTGCCACTACTGTTCTTAGTAGGCTTCGCAGCTTTGCACAGATCATCAATGCTCAGTTTGAATTGTATTTTGTTTAGTATGTTTTGAAAATTTATTTGTATAGTTGGCTTGTGAGAGATTATGCACTTGTGCTACAAGCGGTTC